ATATACTCTTAATAAAAATAATTATATGGTGAATCACTCCAGCGTGTGAAAGCTTTTTTTTTTTGAGGGCAAAAATTACAATGGAGATGCCAGTTTGCGTTTTCTTTTTTAAAATCCTTTTTAAAGAATAACGAATGTTTTGCTGCATGTCTCTAATGAACCGGAATTTCTAAGATATAATTCTATATAATTAATCGAAAATTATTAACAATAATTTGTGATATCTTTCATGATGACTTTACACATAGTTCGATACGCTGATCAATTTGTAATCTTCTTGTAAACTTTCAGAAAGCGGTTTAATGACAAAGAAATCATTTCAAGGTTCTGCCCTATTTGAAGACCTTCTCACAAAAATATCTTTAAAAGAGTTTTATCACGGGGGAAAATTGCCGAGGATATTCATTTAATGCTCTGAACCCTTACTTCTATTTGACTAACAATTCTGAATTAATGTGTTTTATTTTGGATTATATATTTATTTTTTATTTTGAGTTAAAACATTCTTCACAAAATTTTCTTGTTTTAAGTTCGTTTTTCGTTTTATTATGCGTCTCAGCAGCTCACAAGTATCGGTACAACAAGAGTTAAAGTTCTTAATAACTGCAAAAAAAAATCAAAACCATCGCAAATTAAAAAAATAAAGTTCTTCAGCAGTGTTATGATTACAGTCCCAAAAATCATCAAATCTGAATCATATTTGTAAAGAATAAAAAAATACAAAGTGTTTTTTTTAATTGTTTGTCACTTTATTACATGTCTCAGCAGCGGTGAATCTACTTGTAGACGAGTAAGAAGTGTCGTGATAGGGCACATATAGAAATGAGGGTCATTGATTTTATTAATCATTTTATTTATTGAAAAATTCTTTTTTTAATAGGATAAATATGATGATTAGATAATTATTTAAAATCATTCTTAAATATGTTAAAGAAGTGATACCTAGATTGGGGTGTATAATGTAATTAAAAGAAAACTAAATTCAATATAAGTTTCGAATAACTTAAGTATTTAGCATATTTAAAAGAAAAAGATTGAGGTAAATCTTATTTTGAAATAGCTATATACGCTCATATAACACTCTCTAAAACGCATGAAAAAATAAACAGCTATTCTACTTGAGCACACTACCACCCTATCGAAATCAATGATATTCCCTACTTCTATATTTAGAAACAAAACTCAGACCGATCATATTCGGGTCAGTCACTTTGGCTGCCTCGGGTACCCTACATCATATTAGATAAAAGTCACCCGAGATGTGTCGAATGGATCAAAAGGAATAAAAATCCCCCTTTCTATATTTAGAAGCCTAAAGAATTCAAGTTAAATGATTACATGAAATTCCTGACTTTGGTTCAAATTGTTCAATATTGTAAGTATTCTGTTGATGAAATGTAACAGTAATCAAATATTATGCTTATAATTGTATTATAATGGTAATCAATATGCTTAACATATCATAGATTAACCGAGAATAATATACCAAAAATGCCAGATATTTAACATGACGATGAATCCATTTTAAATTGGCGTGAATTGTGCAATAACAACTAGTTCGTGGTTTTGAATTAGTGATAAATTAACAAGTTCTAAACCACGATGATATCAGCTTTATTGCATTCCAGAAAATCGTCACATTAAAGAAGTTTATCTACAACATGATCAAATGTCACAAAGTCGACAACAGACCTTATTTTTTATCTTCAAATTAAGAGATAATGTTGTATTTGATGTAAATGAAATGATTACACCCACAACATTCTCTTTGTCAAATAAAAAGGGGGAGATATGCCCCTATTTGACTCAGGGACGTTTGCAGAAATCTTCTATGGTTTATGTTTTACATACACTAGATAAATAAAAGGTAAAGATATTTTTTTCAGAAACTTATAAAAATCATTGACTTATAGAGCATTCTTTAAGTGTTTCTGTTTGCATACCATTTCAAAATTTGGACCTCTGTTGAAACTCCACCTAGCCTTGAGAGTATTGATTTTTAGACAATTTAGGTACTTGGTGTAACGTTGAATATTGACCTGAGTTAAAAATTGACCAGGGGTTTATTTTTCAACGTTGAACATTGAACCGAGGGTTTTTTCTCCGTTGAATTTATACCGGGGTCACCAGGTGACCTCAGTTGAAAATTGACGCTGTTGAATATTGACCCAACCTCAGAGTTTGTACATTTTTCGATCTGGGAAATTGTTTTACGGGATTTATCAATATCTCTATGTTTATATTTCGGTTTCGATTTTTCTCTTTTCAACAATAATCGGTATAAACCTATCATCCTGTGTATACTGAGTATATGTACATTTTGATCAGTACACGATTTCAGTTATCTTCAAGAATGCCTTCATTTATTGACAATATTTTCTAAAATCCATAACCTCCATAAATACCTGCAAAACAATGATAGGGCATAAAATAAAAATCCCGGGAATATGGTGTGTAGAAAATGAGTCAGGTGGGCAGAACATCCAATCTAGTCAAATTCAGTATAAAAATTAACAAAATTAAAAGCCAAAAATTAGATTGAAATACAACGGCCAAAATAAATCCAATGATAGGTTATATTTGTGAAAAAAAATTCAATATAGCGAACATAGCATGTAAGTAGTGCTGACTTTAAACTAAGTTAGTGAAATCCCTATAACAAACTTATCTGTCAGAAGCCTGTCTCGCCTTAAAATTCGTCGTTTTCGGAGCATAACCTTGAGAATGAGATTATTCTTATTCTAAGGCACATCATTCTTATTCGATACAATGTTATTCTTAATCGAATAGTTGTTATTTTTATTCGATAATTTGCAATTTGTATTTGATAAATTGCTATTCCCATTGGAGGAAATATGACAATATGATTCCTACATTAAAATATGTCATTCATCTCGAAAACACGTGGTTCCTATTCGATGTCGCTCATATTTGAAAACATGCGATTCCTATTTGCTAATTTTGTCACTCCTACTCGATAATTTTATCTTTCTTATTTGATAATTATTTGGTTTATATGCAATAAAGGTGTTGTCCGAAAATATACTAGCATCCATTTCTATTCAAAACAATACGATTCCTATTCGATAAACCTCATCTTATTGCTTAATTTTATCTCTCATATGCGATGTTTGTCTTATCCTTTTTTGATAATTGCATTTTGAGAAATATGACAAAACTAGAACTGGTTGTAAATTAAATTAAATAGGAATGACATGTTTAACACGATTATCGAATAAAAATCATTTTATTATCGAATAGAAATGATAAAATTTTTTGTTTCGCACAAGAATAACATTTAATCGAATAGGAAACATATTTTATCGAAAAGGAATGACATGAATTACGCAAGTGAGTTAACGCTATGCAAAATATCTAATTAAATCCAATAATTACTATATCTACGGCAAAGAAAATGTAAAGACTTGTGTTCTTATACATTTTTGGTGCCTACGACTTGCGATAGCCAGTACAAATTATGACGTCATGTAATGACGTCATTGACCTCTACAACACAAGTTTATAAGAAACATCAACAAAATGGCATCGGCGCAAGTGTATATCTTTGTTTTACAGAAACAAGGTATAAAGAGATGCAGGGTATTCCATTGATATGAGATATTGCTTCACAAATGTCGACACTGCAATTGTTTAGTTACTATTCATACAGTTTTACGTTGAGACAGACAAAACTTCACAGTCCAGTGTACGTTTCCTAATATTTTTATCGATTGAGAAAATGTATAGGATTTGTGCTGCAATTTTCTTAATTTTTAGAATATTCTGCTTAATATTATACATTATTTATTTTGAATTTGAGTAGGATATGCCCTTGCGCCGACGTTGTTTTGTTGATGTGTACATGTTTTATTACCTTGAATGGGAAAGAACGATGACGTCATACTATGACGTCATAATATGCACTTGCTTTTATATGCTGTGGGTACTAAGTATGTATAGGAAAATCAATTTGAGCTTTATCTGTACATAAAATATACAACTTATGCATTTTTATTAGCTCATTTGCATAGCATTAATTTAAAGAAAAACAAATTGGCTTTTGACAAATAGAAAGTTGGAAACATATATGCTTGATGCTAGTATCTATAAAGTTTGATAGATATTGTTGAAAAGGTGAATACAGATTTGAAAACATGAATTTACAGATTTATCTTTTAGAGATCGAAGTATCATAGAAAAAGTTAGATCATGGGAGATGCACCTAGCCCCTCGATATTGTACTTTGACCCAAAGAAATCTACAGAAAATTTCGCAAGACTCTGTCAGTTCTTGGTGACAATCTGCAGTGACTTCATGAGAGATATCCTCAGCCATTATATAAAACCGGGCAATCTCAGAACAGAATTGGACCAAAATAGATCAAAATTGGAAAATATAACGAATAAACAGGAAAAAGATTTATTGTATCCCCCACATTCATCTACCAGTACTGCTTCGCAATTAAGATCTAGAGATCTTGATTTATCATTACTCTACAAGATTTTGCGCAATTTATGCAATATTCCAACACATATAGCTGGTTGGGGAAATCAACCTCGTCCATCTGACTTTTCTTTGGCTGCATGCATAGAAAGGATCCGTATTTTACGAAATTCCATCTCTGGACATTCTACCAATGGTACTGTTGATGACGTGGAGTTTGAAGATTACTGGAGAGAGTTAAGGACGTCGGTTGTGGAGATTGAGAAGGAAGTCACTGGTAGCGATAGATATGAAAGAGGAATAGACCATTTATATGACTGTGATCTGAACCCGACCAAATCCAAGGAATATGTTGCCCAAATTAGGAGATGTTCAGGTAAATAAAATGATAAATTCTATCATTTTAATTATAATAATTTCATTGTTGTTGTTGATTTTCTTCTTGATTCATTACACTTTACAACATATTTTTGATTACTTTTACATGCATTAAAATTGAGAAAAAATGCTTTGTTTTTTGTTATTATTTTCTTACATCCTATTTCATATCTATTTAGGGGAACTGAAGGTTAAACGAGGTAAGAACATTTAATAGTCCTGTCAAATTCTGATCATTAAAGAGACACCATGACTCACAAAAAGGAAAATTGACCAATGTTGAATTTTTGCATGACCAGTGTGAATTTTGTTCAATTCCTAAAAGTATTAGCTAGGATTTCAGAAAATAACAGTTTCAGAATCTTAAACTTTTATTTTTTTGGAGAAAAATAACAGTAAAAATATTTCAGTATGCCCCATAACGAAAATATTGCTCAATACTTCTTCCTCCCTATTGTACGCGTGCACAGAAGTGGAATATGTTTCCATAGTTACTATGATCTCAAGTACTCGGGAATGAATGTAAGTAGACCAAAAATTAGGATGCAATCTTTTTAAAACGTTGTTAGAACGTATTTCTCACTTTTGGATGCTCCAGTTGAATGTTGTTTACAAGTTTGAGCTGTAAATATAAGTGGCGTGACCTTGACATACACGAAAACAACGAAACGGTAGATACAACCTTTGTTTTTCTGGCACTTATACTGTGAAGTTTTTCCTTGCAGTTTAGTTGTCATATCTTAATTAGCTATATACTCATGATTTTCATAAGTCTTTATGAAGACCTAAGTCTGTATGCTAGAGATAAGGAAAAAGAAACACGTGATTTTGACTTTGTGTCACTTTACGTATTGTTTAAAAAATTTACAAAAATGATTTTCTTTTGATTCAATTTTGAATCTCCTTTAATTTTCAGAGAGAATTGATCTGGTTGAAGGTAAATGAATGATTTTTAATATACTCAACAAAATAAGTTAAGGGCTAACATGAGAATTTTATTTTTTGCAACATATATTGTAAAGGTGGTGGAAAAAATATCATTTTAAAAGTAAACAATAATAAATCTCTTATATATAATAAACAAATGAACAATATGTAACAACATGTAACTGTCAAAACAACAATAATATACATCAATACAGGATTTCATAAGGAAACAACAGTCGTGTTTTCAGGGTTTTAATTAACCTGGAAAGTCCAAACGTTACTTTCAGTATATTGTATGACCGCCTCTAGCCCTACATTACTTCCCTACATCGATTTCGAAAACTGTTGATTAAACTTCGGAAGTTATCCTATGGAATTCTTGACCATTTCTCAACAAGAGCAAACTCAAGTTCACGGAGCGTGCTTGGTTGTTTTTGCGTTCCTAAAATTTGCTTCTGGAGTATTTCCCATGCATGCTCTATTGGATTCAAGTCATGTGATTTTGCTGACAAATCCATCCTTTCGATTGTTTCTTCTTCTATGTACTGATTGATCACTCTCGCAGAATAGGGCCTGACATTGTCATCCATCATATGAAATCTTTACCGATGGCACCAGCGTAAGGCCTAACAATTGGTGCAAGGATCTCATCCCTGTAACGGACAACTGTTAGCGATCCATTCCTTATGACATAAAAGTCTGTGTCTTTTACCTGCCCAAACCATGACTGATCCACAACCAAACCGGTCATGTTCAGTGATGCAGCAGTCCTTAAACCTCTCGTTTTTCTTCCTCCATACTCGTCTGCAACCACCATTGAAATCCAGACAAAATCTGGATTCATCAGTCCATAACACTCCTTGGATATGATGATGGTCCCAGTTAATATGTTCTTGAGCAAACTGGAGGCGACGGTTGTGATGTTCTGCGGTCAAAGGTGCGCGCAAAGCAGGTCTCCTGGAACGTAATCCCGCATCATACAGTCTGTTTTGCAAGGTTTGTGTGGAAATCCTTATACATGTACCTTTTGCTACAGAGAGCTCTCTGTTCAAAGCAACAGCTGAAGGCATTCGGTGTCTCTTCGCTCGCAGTGAAATTTGTCTATCTTGTTTAACAAGCGTATTTTTTGGACGACCACTTTTAGGTCTCCGTTTGACGCTATTAGTCTCTTCGTATCGTTCCAACAAACGTCCTATAACAGAATGACTTACACCCAGTTGCGCTCCAACATGACTCTGTGAACATCCAGCTTGAAGCATTCCAATGGTCCTTGCGGATTCCTCTACCGTCAGATGTCTCCTTTGAGGCATGAAAACATGTTAAATGGCAAAAAGCAACAAACATTGTACAAATAAACGAATTTTGTTTCTTTTTGAGGTTGTCAATGAGTATACAATACAGCCAATATCACCGAAATGTGGATAAAGCAAAACATTCAATTAGCAAAAATCGCAGGAAAGGAGCACAAATCAAGAGTGTGTTTGAATAACAATTCATAACAATTCATAAAAATGTATGGAATCCCAAATAAAACAAAAAAAGTGCAACAAAAAAAAGTTATAGATTTTAAAACTTTCAAAAAAGTAATTGGCCCTTAACTTTTTTGTTAAGTGTATCATGATACATGTATATAATTAAATAACTAGCTGAAAATAAAATATGTGAATTATCTCAAATGTATGCAGATTTATATAAAATCTCTTCTCCTTTAACATTGACAGAGGAAGCAAAGGCGAAAAGAGGTAAGTAAACGAAAAGGTATGCTTCACAAATTTAAAATAGATTCTTATTTAAAAAAATACCTGCAACACGTCCAATAAATGAAGTTGTTGCATTCGGAAATGTTAAATATTTATTTTCTTTTATATAAAATAATACACACATAAAATATATTGCGTTTCATTCTTGAATTCCTTTAAATTTGTCATTTATTTCTTCATCAATCTTCTTCTTTAATCAAAAACTTTATTTTTCTTATTTATCTCCGAAATCTGTGTAAATGTTGGGTTCCTTGAATATAATTCATCACCTAGGAAGGAAACCCTCTTACTATCATGTGGTTGCTTGTGGCCATATTCATCAATACACTTGCTACAAAAAATGGTATATGTAATGTTATGAACTGTTTCCGCTTGTAAAGATTATACAGGGAATATAAATAGACTATAAAATAAAATGTTATTGTTTAATTCTAAATAAAAATTTACCTTAATATTTTGTTTGTTGTGATATTTCAGTAAGATTGGAAAATTTAGAGGAAAGACAATCTTTGTTAGAGAAAAGTAATGCGACATTCAAAGCAAATATAGAGGCCAGACTTAATGGTAAGGTATCTTCTCTACATTCTTATATTCCCTTATCTTAACTTCTTAAACACACGAGTAAATTCAAATTTTATTGGGTAGTGTGAAATTGCTATTTCAGTATTTATTTACATATTTATATTTGTTTCAAGACAACAATAAAATACTGTATATCTAGAATCCAGTAATTTTTAGACTTACCGGGGGTGGAAGGGGGGGGGGGTAACGGCGGGTGTTCATCTTAATTAAAAATATCCAACCTATAATTTTTCACTAAAATCCCATTTCCAAACGTAGACAAACTTTTTTTCGGGGGAGGGTTTTTATTCAATGAAATGACTCCTCGGGGTACGAGATCAGACAATCTTTAAATTTTTTGGGTTTTTTTCCCTTTGCCGACTTAGGATAAAATTATTGGTTCAAGAGGTAGGTTTGAAAAAAAAAATTCTAGAAATTTTCAACATATTTGTTTACTGAACAAGATTAGTTAAAAGAAAAATAACCTTAAGTGGCCTGGAATGTATGGAAAAATTGATTCGGATCATTTTAGTCAGTCGGTCGGGATCGAGAGGGCAACCAAAGATTTTTTTCAAGATCTCAAAAGTTATTTTACACGTTTTACTATATTCATAAATAATTCACTAATTATAGGGGCACCGTGAAAACGGTCCTCCTGTTTCTTTTTAGATCCATGCAAATCTAGTATTTATTATTATTATTTTTTACTCCCGTTATTTTTTGCTATTTAAAATGAAATTTCTTATTCTCTAGTTGCCTACTTTTAGAAATCGTAACGGGGCTAACCACTGTAAAATCCGATATACTGAAAGAGTTAAAATCGATAGAGCTAAGATTACAACAGGAAAGGGGAACGTCATCAATCAGATATAGTATGTATTATATGTATGATTCCAATCAAATTTTAAATCATTTTATGTTTTTTCTATGTGTTTTAAAAATTTAAAAATTGGTGGTCTTTTTAATATGAAAAAGAAAATGCTTTTACGAATAGATATCAAATATTCAAATATTACTATGTTACAGGCGGGACTGATAATTGTGGCGAAATTTCTACATCAACCTACACAACGAGCAAATCAACAAAAACTATAAAATTCAAGCCTATGTTACCCAACTCTCACTTCTCCATGCATGTGACAAGAGACAACAAATGTTGGTTGTTGATTTCTAGCTACAGCTTAGTATCCTCCAGGTTATATCTTCTCGGTGAAGTCGGTTTCGACAAAGTAATTAAAATACCAAAGATGTATGACGCCGGATTATTTTACTGTAACATAACAGTCAATGAGAACCTCGAAGCTGTTTTTGTTTCCAGAAAATCCCTAGTAGCTGCTGGAGCGAACGGCGTGTTCCGCAAGCTGTTTGATATCCCTGAAATACCCACTGACTATGGCCGTATATGCTTTATGCGTTCTGGTGAATATATTGTTCAATGTCCAGCTGGATTGTTCTTTGAATATAGTAAGAAAGGAGAATTCCTGAGACATTGGGTATTAACTGCAATTTCACACTTGCATATTCGTCAATCGAGATTTTATCAAAATAGTAACGAAGACGTCATTATCATAGAAGAACGTCCCTGGGAAAGGTCCAGAGATGTATACTTTTTAAATAAAGATTTAAAATTGATTAGCCAAATCACCCTAGAGAATGGTGGAATAACTCCGGTATTCAACAAAGCTGGTCATTTACTTCATGGACATGGCCAGTCAATTGACCTACTAGACAGTAAAGGTCAATTTATCAAGACTATTTATAGAACACATAGATTCGACGAGATAAGCAACATGGCCTGTTATAGTAGTGGTACAATTTGGATTCTATACTCGTCTAATGAAATTGACATATTAAAACTGGAATTCATTTTATAATTTTCAAATATTTCAGTCAGTGTTTCGTAATAAAAAATGAAAAAATGTCCGATATTGCAAAGATTTATGACCAATCGTTTTTTACGATAAAAGATTTAGGATGATAGTGTATAAAAAATCATTCATGAACCAAACAATCAAAGTACAAATAAAAACATATGTATGTATAAATTGACATGTTAGCTGTTTAAGATTTTTTTGCATTGCCTATCTGCAAATTTGACAAAAATCTGGTTTCATTAATAAAATAGGTTTTTGGAGGGGGCGGGGGTAGTAAGAAAGGTTTTTTTAATTTTGTTATACAAGGAAGATATATATATTTTAATGAATATTGATATTGAATATAAATTTTTTCTACTTTCGTGTCCTTTTTGTGTCTTATGCGTATTTTTCAGCTAGAATGAACAATTCATAACATGTCATTCTGATGTCAACTGCTTAAAATAGTTTTTTTTTCTGATATTTAGTTGTAGCATTGCATGTTTTGAATTTGATATATGGTTTTTCTATGCTTTTCTGTTGCCTGGCTTGTTTGTATGGACAGACCACTTAGGTTAAGTCATTTAATGCTAATTTATAACAGAATCGAAAACCTTTTTATGTATCGAAACATAACTTTTGATATTTCTATTTTTAAAACTGTTAACTTGTATATTTTGCACATTTTTTTTGTATACATGTATGAATTATTATTTAACACTATATATTTAAACGTCTTTTGATGTTTCTATTTTTTAAATTCCGCTTACTTGTATATTTTGCTCTTTTTAAATATACAATTATGGACTGTTTAGAAGGGAGACATCACCAGGGTGACAACCCTACTCAGACCTGATAACTGGTGATGTCTCCCGTCTAAACAGTCCATAATAGTTTTGTTATCCTGAAGAATCTAATTATCAATTAGATAGAGTAGAAAATAGTAATCAAACCTTTTATGTGTACGTCTCTGCTCTGATTCCATACTTTTGAAATATGTCAACAGACAACTCGATCTGACGTCATCGTTAGAATTTATTGTTACCGATCCCGCATATCAGTAATACTATATTACATGTATAATCATAAATAAAAGTTATCTCGCTTTAACCACTGTAATTTCATTCAAAGGGCGACAACACAGTTGTAACCCTGCTTGCTTGCTTACGCTATTTCATTGTCATCTTTAGGGTGACAACAGTTGTCACCCTGCGCGTGAGGGAGACATCACGAATTGTCTCACCTCACGTGACATGCTTTAAACCAATCAGATTGACTCTATAATTCTGAAGGATAATAATAAATGTGTGAGTAATAAGCGTTTTATTTGATCAAAATAAATTCAACAAGAATTTCAAAACTTTTTTGATTTTTATTCTTAGATCTCGAAGAGAGTTTTCATTTCTTGAAGAGTAGGCATATTGTATATAATAAACTTACATTGCTTTGTTAAGTGAATTAATATTTCGCAAGGTATTTTATTGTAGAAAAATATCTTGCTTGTTTTGCAAGGTCACATCATTCATCAATACAGGCCAAGAAATCTCAAGAATAAAGTTACTTTTTAAAATGCACTTAAACTGCATACATTCTCTGTAGTATTACTAGCTGTGCATGCTTTAGTTTACCATAGAATAAATACATTTATTATAGCAAATCATAAACTTTCATTATAAAATGTACTAAGTCAAAATAATTTAAATAGGAATTAAAATATCTCCATTTTAGCTCACCTAGTCGAAATCTCAAGTGATTTTTAATTTGTTTGTTGTCATTTCGGTGATATTGGCGTCGTCCTTGTCGTAAACCTTTCGAAATGTCATCTTATCGAAAGTACTGTGGGCAATGAGCTCACTAAATTATACCCCGCCTCCCATATGAATTTAAAAACGGTGTCCATGTTTTGTTACGGGAAACCCAAATTATGTGTCGGATCAAAAAGTTAAATAAGAGGTCACATTGGCCACATATAATAAAGATTATGTGAAAGTCATCAAATTTCATTCAGTGGTATAAGAGGAGTTGCGGATAAGAAATTGGTGCCCCAAAGCGTAACAGACGGACGGACGGACATCACGATTACCATATACCCTCCCACTTTTCAAGCGGTGGGTATAATAAAAGATACCATAGAGTCTGACACATTTTCCATACTTTGAAGATTTACTGACTATAGACGATAAATGTCAATTAACATCACGAACAAACGAAAGTATTTCAATATTTCCATTTGTTTAAAATTCAGAAAATTTACTAGAAAAAAGATGCAAGATACATCTTGTGACAAAGATAACTGATTTCAAGATTCTAAACACCTGAATTTTTTTTAAATTTTACTATTTCAAAAGTAAGTCATTGAGACCTTTCTTTCAACAAACTGAGTCAACTAAAAAGTAGTTCTAATCCTCTTATTATCTTAAATATTAAGATACAACTAAGGGATTCAAAAAGTATTCACGATAAACTTTCGTTAACTTAATATCTGAGATAATTAAATATAGTTATGACATTCCAAATGAAGGTCGTTGTGACCTACTTTTCGTTAAGGCCTCATGAAAAGGATAATAGTTTAAGTCCCAATTAGGCTAGACAGTGTCCAAAATATGCATATTACTAGTATACAATTTGAAAATATTTACTTGCACGATGCAAGACGAGGCCCACAGACCTTGTAGGTCACCTGAGTTTGATATTTCAACTTTATATTGGGTTCACACTCTGAACCAAAGGCAATGAAAGTCACTATTTTAAAAGAAAAAGCCATGTTTTCTCAACACATATTTACATTTATCCTGCAACTACCCCTTGCATTGACCTAATAAAGGTAACCTAATAAACCAAAGCTTTATCCGGTCACTGCCCTAATAAAGCCTCGTGCATGTATTCCGACGTTCCAAAAGCATTGTGACGTCACGTATACTGCAATGTTTACGCCATGGCGTCATAGTTTCAACTGTAGAGATGTGCCTAAATCTGTCGGAATTAGCTTGTTTTGGATGCTCAAATGTAAAATTTTGTTGCAGGATAAACAAAATACACGATAACTGTCTTGAAATATAAGCGATATTTGAGCTCGGGTCGTAAACGTAAGAGGGCTCGGCAAGCCTCGCCCTCTATCACGTTTTCTTACCCTCGCCCAAATATCGCTTATATTTCAACACAGTAACCATGTATTTTATATTTAATCTGTTAACTTGATACATAGAAGCAGATAATTATCAAATAAATAAAGAAGAAGGTACAGTTTCAATACAAATAAAGCCCTATATTTTTCTAAAAAATGATTTAAGAAATTAAAATTCATTCTTTCTGAATCATATGAATTCTTTGCAGTAAGAGTACACGAATGATTTTTCTCATATGACCTCGTAAATGCTAATTGTGACGTCATTAACCTGTGCATTATCCCGTATTTTCTTAAAAAGTTGCAGAAGACATCAATTTTCAGTGGAATTTTCTTTTAGAAAACATACTCTGCCACCGTCGCCTGGAAAGATTTTGAGATATATGATTTTTCATGGCTGTTTGCACAATATATCCAAAATTTAAAGCTGAAAATAAGCAGAAAAACGAGTCATTTTGAAGCTTTTTTGCTTTAAACTTAAAAATGTACCAAATTAATGACGTCATATTTGAAGAAAGGCTCTTCTTCATGCCATTTTCTTTAATGATTTATCATATTCATCTACTCAACTGATGTTGAAGCCAATTTCATAACTTTTTAAGAATATTAAATTTTTAGGGCACAATAAAGCTCAAACCGTACCGTCTTCTTCCATTCTTACTTCAAAATCAGTACAGCCTTTGGAACTCCGGATCTAATACTGCGGCTGAACACGTCACAGTTCCGGAAAAGACACACTTACTCATCATAAATGAGCACATAATTACAGTGTTGTTTGTTTCTTTATAACAAAGGAGATGAGGGTGTTTACCAAAACATCAATACATTTTTTCTATAAAATCAAAACGAGTCCCACCCGCTCAACACCTGACTCTAGGGCAAAATCATTCCCAGTTATGTAAGAAACTGCCTTTTTCGAAATAACCATGTTCACCCCAGGAGCAGATGCGCTGATACGAGATCAAAGTATCAATTTTCTTTACATTATTAATATTATTAATACAGCCCTGCCTAAACATCAGAATCTCTGATCAAGTGGTCATTTCACAATTTTACTTATCATATTCATAAACTTGATTTAGGCCCCTACCAGGTTCTTTAATACCCATGCAGGAATATGCAGAGAAGATTTTCAAAGAATTAAAGTATTTCACTATATTCATTACAGGTTAAAGAAGCAGCCTTGCTCGCCTTAATCATACATCTTGTTTTTTTTGTCTGCTATATCTAAATACCGAGGATGAGAGATGTTTAAAAGATCATACATTTTCAGTATATATACTGAGTATGTTCAACAGAGTTCTTCCGTAGCACCAGAACCCTGTCCTTGTGACAATAATTTCAGCTTCACAAGGACTCGGTGTCATATCATAAATCATAACCAACATTTTGCCTGCTTAGTGACCGGGAGTAAAAAAGGTTTTCTGTCCCATCCCTAAAACCCGATCGCGACGTGGGTGTAGACCATAAAATTCATAATTTTGTCCGTATCTCTCCTTGATGTTATAAACTGATTTAATCTTTTTCATCAGTTTCTAAGAGATAGCAATAGTTTACCTCAGTGGTTCGTTACCTTAAAAGTGGATATTTGTTTTACTCTTTCAAGATCTTAAATCGGAATATCTCTCGGAGTAGTCAACTGTGCTAGTGTAATGGAAGAATTCATGCTCCCTCTAACTGCTGCATTCAAATGTTTCCAAACGATACGAAATAGTGATATTCTCAAATCTTGTAAGTCAACATTCATAGCTTAAGGAACATGTTTTTTTTTTTTGGTTGCATCCTCAACAATGTACTTTTTTATATTGTTGAGTACAAGTACCTACCGGATCATGACATAGTGTACGTCCTTGGGATTTCTCAGCAGACTACATGTAAGCACGCAGTTTTACACAGTATCATTTAAATCTTCCTTGAAAAAAATCAGCATAAAGAAAATCAATCAAAGAACGATAATACCAGAGAAGTACGGAGTATTGGTTTATTACATGATGATCGTGTTTATCAACCTAATAATACAGAAACACCCGGGTCCTTCACAGAACCGAGATAAACAACGTACCAGCAGTTCTCTACACAATGACAATTCATTATTATTAATGACCAAATTAGTTTTCATCACGTAGGCAATCAATTTCGGCCCAACCAGGAATTTTTTCCAAACAAAAAAAAATCTTTTTTAGGAACTATGATGTCAACTTTGACATCATATGACGTCATAATTCTAATGGTGCCACGGTGATGATATAGCCAGTACGTGTTTTGAGGTCAACACACAGAGGTAATAAACATATTTCATGACAAATCAAAATTGGATATGCACTAAAGCTCACAAGTATCGGTACAACAAGATTTACTGTTCTTAATCACCAAGAAAAAAAATCAAAGCTATTGCAAATTTATGAATAATTAGACTAAATAATAAATGAACTGCTGCAGCAGTGTTGTCTTTATCATAAACAGTTCCAATAATCATAAAGTCTTAATAATGCTCGCAAAGAAAAAAATTCAAAAGTCTTTTTTAAAAATTGTTTGTCATTCTACTATATATCTCAGCAGCGGTAAATCTCTTGTTGGTGAGTAAGAACTGCCATGTTAGTGCACATAGAATTGAGACGTCATTGATTTTATAAATTATTTTAATTAATGAATAAATCTTTTATGATAGCGTTAATAAATATGATAATTAAATAGTTATTTTAAACTCATATTTTGTAAATTGTACTTGAAGTGGTGCCAAGATGGAGCGTATTAGGTAATTACAAAACTAGATCAATATAAGTTCCAAAAAACTAAAGGAATTTAGAAAAATTTACAGAGAAAAATTGAACTAAACCATGACATGAAATAGCGACATTGCTGAGACTCTTGTATACAAGGCGTCGATGACAGGCAAGTTTATTTGGTTATGAGATTCATTTCTTAGGTTCTTGGCCAACAAAAAAACTTAAGTAGCTCAGATAAATTATCTAAAACGCATGAAAATTTTAATGAACAGCTATGCTACTTGAAAACACAACCATCAGACCGATCGAATGCAAAGGAATTCCCCACTTCTATATTTGGACACAAACCTCAGAACAATCGTATTCGGATCTCTTTGGCTGACTCGGGTATCCCACATCGCATAGCTAAAATCACCTGAGATGTGCCGAATGGATCGAAAGTGATAAAAATCCCCGTTTCTATGTTTGGAACCATCCAGAAATCAAGGTATTCAAAATTGTAAGTATTCTGTTCGTTTACATAAAATGTAATAGTTATCAATTATTGTGCTAATGATTTTATTATAATGGTAATCAAAATACTTAACATAGAGCAGATTTATCGAGCATAAAAAATGCTTGCATAAATTTAACATGGCGATGAATCCATTTTGAATTGGTGTGAATTGCGCACTTAAAATTAATTCATGGTTTTATAATATTGATTAAGAAAAGGTTCGTAACCACGATGATTTCACAATTATTTCCACAGAAAATCGTGATTTTAGAGATGTGGTGTTTAGAATCCACGTGAACAAAAGTCATTAAATCGACAACAAGAATCTTATTTTTCATCCTTATATTCAGAGATGAATTGTGCATTTGGAGATTACATCCAAATCGTTCTAAGGTTAAATGAAATTGGTGAGTTTTGCCCCCTGTTTGACTCAGGGACGTCTGCAGAAATTAAATGTTTAAGTGAAATATACACTAAATAAACAAAATGTAAAGGTATTTTATTTCACAAACTTATAAATTAAAAATCATTGACTAATAGAATTAGTATTTTGTTCGTATATCATTGTTAAATTTGAACATCTACCTACTATTGAGAGTATTGATTTGAAGAAAACGTAGGTACCCGGTATTATACGTGAGACACTAATCACTTTAACCTCTTCATTCTTGACAACAATTTCATCCCTTTATAATTTGAAAACCCTTTAAAAATGTTCAAGATTGACATTTTCGATTGTCAGAATGCTCTGATATTTTCTAAAAAGAAAAAAATATTTTTAGCAATATTTAAGTAATTCTGCAGATCTGACTAATCAAAATACATGTATTATTATCCATATTTTAAAAAGTATTTGCTTCTGTGTTTGTTCCATTTGAGCTATAAATATATGATTTTAATTTTAAATGGAAATGAAATTTATAATTTTTTTTGTGTGAAGTGTTAAAATAAATTCTTGAAAATGTCCACATAAACTTTGGAGCAAGAAAACTGAATACATTTTAAAAACATACTGTAAAGTTGCATTTTCGTAGTTTTCTCTAAATTGTGTTGCTTTGTCAAACATTAAGCTGTTTTACTAAACAAAAATCACTTTTCGGAAGACAAAGACTCCTAATCTAGCAAAGATATCTGAATTTTGGAAGAAAAAAAATTGTTTTATTTATCCTGAATCGTACTCTTTAGAAAAGGAAGGATTATCAAAGTATTTAAACATATTGAACACCAAAATTTGTTTCGAAATTGCTACTGACGCTAATGACACAATAATGACACAATAAAATCTGTTTTTATAACAGGTTTATTGTGATGTCCATCATATTAAACATTGTTTACATGATTACATTACATTATATTATTAAAAATTCTCAAATAATATATATTTGAGAAATTGGGATGAAATGTTTGAAGCCGATTTATATTATATTGTGTTATCTCGTATAGTGAGAATTCTAAAATGATAAGCAAAACTGACACATTGGATAGACACGACATCCCTGACAAGCCTTTTTTTAATATCATTCAAAAAACGATTTACTTCTGTTCTATATAAGCTTATTGTAGCTCATCAAACAAATAAATTCCAACGCATGAAAATATTAATAAGGAAGATCAAAACCACAAAATAAAAACAAAACATTTCCCTCCTCCTGTATTTGGAAAACAAATCCGCGATTAAAACTATTTGGGTCACTTTGGCTAGCGTCGGTATCGTATATCAAATAAATGTAATCGACCAGGGGGTGCCGAATTTCTCGAAAGTACAAATCCCCCTTTTAATATTTGGAAACATCCTGAAATCATCGATAGTATGAAGTTTCCGAACTTTACTAAAATTAATCAATATTGTAGGTACTCTGTTTGTTTATTCTAAAATGTAACTGTTAATAAGATATTTGAATATTTTTAAATTTAATCACCGAAAGAAAAGGTTATTTGATTCTTTAACTCATTTACACCAAAACCTAAATGTACTTTAAAAAGTCCGTCCAAAAAACAATTAAAGTTCATAATGTTGAAGTATTTGGAATTTTCGAGTAGTAAAATTCGACCAATCAGAAAATATTATTTAGTTGTTTATAATTTCGAAATCAATATAGTGATCTATCCGACGGAGTTTAATTTTCTGCGATCCCTATGAGGGTGAGATTTATATTAACTTTGGCTTATTCCTAATTTAAATTTTAGTTTAAAAAAATTAACGAAATAATGCATAATAATTATAAATTGATTTTTATATGGGTAAAAATGTTTTTTTTTTAATTACATGAATGATAAATTGCCTTTTCACAGATAGAAAGTGAATACAGATTAAATATTATATAATGTATACTTTAGAGACCGAAGTATTCAAGAAAACGTTCGATCATGGAAGATGCACCTAGCTCCTCAGTGTTGTACTTTCACCCAAATAAATCTACTGAAAATTTCGCACGACTCTGTCAGTTCCTTATGACAATCTGTTGTGACGTGATGAGAGAAATTCTCAGCCATTATATAGAGCCAGCCAATCTCAGAACAGAATTGGACCAGAAAAGATCAAAAATGGAAAAAATAGCAAATAAACAGGAGAAAGATTTACTTTATCCTCCACATTCATCTACCAGTAGCGTTCCCCCAATAAGATCCAGAGATCTTGATATATCAATGCTCTACAAGATTTTGCGCAATTTATGCAGTATTCCGAAACATAAAGCTGGTTGGGGAAAAAAACCTCGTCCATCTGATTTTTCCTTGGCTGCATGCATAGAAAGGATCCGCATTTCACGAAATTCCATCTCTGGACACTCTACCAATGGTATGGTTGATGACAAAGAATTCGAGAATTACTGGAGAGAGTTAAGGACGTCGGTTGTGGAGATTGAGAAGGAAGTCACTGGTAATGATAGATATGAAAGAGAAATAGACCACTTATATGACTGTGATTTGAACCCGACCAAATCCAAGGAATATCTGTCGCAAATTCAGAGAAACACGGGTAAATAATAATATCCGCTTCTTTGTTTTTAATTTTATGAATTCAGTTTTCAAACTCTCTATCTATTTTAATGTATGTAGGTCTCATTTGAAATTATGTTGCTATTTTAGGGGAATTAAAAATCAAGCGAGGTAAGAACATTTTTAAACATTTGAACATAAAAAGCATAATACTCAAAAAGCACTACTTTTCCTTTAATTACTGTTGTATATTTCTTTTCTCTTAATTTTAGAGAGAATGGATCTAGTTGAAGGTAAAGAAAGTTTTCATGTGCTCTAAATTTATCTTACATAATACCCTGATGAAATGAACACTTGTGAATTACTTAGACATTGAGTGAAGATATTTTTAATTATTATCTATATTTCATGTTTCCCTTTCAATACACAGAAGAAGCAAAAGCCAAAAGAGGTATGTTTATAATTCACATTTGTCTATCAGCGATATCACGTGTTTAGGAATATTACATCTGTTGGATGCATTTAGTTTGACTTTGCAAATATATTGTTTTCCTTATCTAAATGCATCCCTTGCTTTACCAGCTTATTACTATACGTGTTATGTGACTAGTGTACATGCATGCAAGCAATGCTTCTTATAATTCCCGTTTAAAAATAAAGTTTCAAACGAAAAAAAAATATAACAATATTGGTGAATTTCTTTTCTTATGTTCCAAATATTGTAAACACATGACATTGCGTATTTCTTTCGAGTATCCTATATCAGTGTTTATTTTATCCTTAACTCGATTGCTATTAAAATATGGGGGAAAAACCTTTCTATTAGCTCTATTTATGATCTAATTATTGAGCTTATCGCCGATGTTATTCATTTCTGATACTTAAAGACACCAATAGCTACAATTAGTTATTTTATAACGTATATTTTCGCATTAGTCTTTACCTTCGGATATTGAAGTAATCGCGGAGGTGAAAAGAGTGTCGAACCTTAAAGTTGCTTGTGTCACCTATATTCAGGTCTGGTAATTTGAAGTTTCATAAATCATTCAATGGAACTTTAATGCAAAAATAAATTTAAAGCATATATATTATGAAACAAGTCAGCTCATTTTATTATTTGATTTCAGTTAGATTGGATGATATAGAGAATAGACAGAAAAAGGTAGAAGAAAATCAGGCAAAATTCAAGGCACATTTAGAGGCCAAGATAACTGGTATATACCCTTTATTAGTTTTTTGTATATCAATTAGATTTCTTAATTGGAAAAATTATACCGATAAATGGTTTAAAAATTCGTTGTTTTATTTTTAAATTCTAAAGAATAAGACTCGAGAAAAGAAAGGAAATAACATTTTTAGCTATTCCTTACATGAGCTGTTTAATGAGTTGGAAAAAAAATGCTTCTGTGGTATGAAGGACCTTGATAATTAATGTCAACATGTTGGCTACGAAAATTTAAGTCAAAATTTGTTTTGCTTTTGAAAGCTACAATGTTAATAATATGTCAAAATCGTAAGGTAGCTGAAATTGTCCAGATTTAAAGTGATGAAATCTTCAGAGTAAAGGTTTTGGATGGAATTGAATATTATTTCAAAATAACACGAATGTCAACTAAATAGAATTCAAATATGAAGGAACTAAAATTGATGATGAAGTCTACTAATAGTGTTTTGTCCAGTTTAGTGGATAAGAGGAATATCAAGCAAGATTTCTTTGGAAATAATGCAGGGAAATTATAAAGAAAGACTTTATATTTGGCAAACATATGCAGAAATCAAACATGCAGCATTCAAGATCAAAAGTCCTTAAAATAATACAAAATAGGAGATGAGCAAACACGGACCATCAGAATTTCTTATTCATGATGTTATTCTGAATTTTCCATTACGTCGAACTGGGCCCTGTGTTACTAATATTCAAAGATTATTGCTCATGGTCGTGTTTTCCATACATTTAATAATTCATGACCTAATTTTAATGTTATAGAACATATTTGTCAGTTTCGTTACAATAAATGAATAGAAGTATCCACAATTTTTTGGTACAACCCTCGTAGATAAAAGTTGTGCATTCTTATTTAGACATATTTTGAATTACAGATACGGATAATGATGATGGAAGAATTATTCCGAGCGATACATTGACATATTCCACGAACAAATTAACAACCATTAGATTAAAGTCTGATGCATTTGAGAAAGGATTTTTTTCTCATTTACCTATGCAATCAACATGGAATAACAAATGTTGGCTGTTAATCCCTTGCAAGCGTTGCATCAACAATGGTACAGGAATCGAATTTATTATGGATCAGATACTTAAAAGTCTTGGGGAGGGGGGGGGAGTCTTTTATGTTGTGTCTTCTCAGTGAGGACATTGGTGTTTACAGAGAAATTAAAATACCAAAAATGTACTCCGTTCGGTCAACTAACATTGCTACAAATGAGGACGGTGAGGTTGTGTTTATAAATGGACAATCACTAGTAGCTGCTGGAGAAAATGGCGAATTTCAAAAGCTATTTGACTTTTGCAGACATAAAAAATGTACTACTTTTCAAGTATTCTATACAAGTTGTGGTAACTACCTCATAACAGACGAGGAATTTGCGCACTTTTCTGAATTCAACAAGGGGGGAATTTTATTGAGAAAATGGAAATTACCGTCAGTACTTGATCCTTGTGTTTCGAGACTGATTCCAAATTGTAACAAAGCATTTATTCTCGTAACTCATTCTCCTCACCTCGATCATATATGCACTTTGGACGAATATTTTAATTTGGATTGGGCAAAAAGTATTGAACATGAAATAATGATAACTTCAGTTTTGAAAAATAATGACTAATTGTGTCTACAATAGACAATATGTGTAACTCCGACCAAACAATAAACAATATGGGTAACTCTGACCCAACAATAAATAATATGGGTAACTCCGACCAAACGCTAGACATTAAGGGTAACTCAAACCCAACAATAAAAAATATGGGTAACTTCGACCCAACAATAAACAGAAATGCTTCATAAGACGCCAACTGATTGTCATTATGAGCATCCAACAATAAACAACATGCGTAACTCCGACCCAACAGGTACATATCTACTGTGTACCAAAACAATAAACCATGTAGGTAACTCTGACCCAATAAGTACATATCTACTGTGTACCAAAACAATATAAATAATATGGGTAACTTTGACCCAATAAGTACATATCTAATGTGTACCAAAACAATAAACAATATGGGTAACTCTGACCCAAAAGGTACATATCTACTGTGTACCAAAACAATAAACAATATGGGTAACTTTGACCCAATAGGTACAACCTTGTACCAAAACAATAAACAAATGAATAACACGACCCAATAGTTACATATCATTTTTTTTATCAAAACAATAAACAACTTGAATGAGTTAAACAATTAGTACATTATTATTAATGAGTGACCCAATTAGTACATAATTATTAAATTTGTATAAGGTACTAAACTAATCAACAAATTGAGTAACACCGACCCAATTTGTACGTACACGTATCAACTTTCTATCAACAGTTTAAACCATTAACAACACCAACTCAATAAGTACATTTATATAAACATGTTTAAGCTCAGTCCACACCCCTTAAACTCCAAAGACTGAAAATGAGATATTGGTACATTTATTAACATGATTTCAATACACATTTCAACATGATTTCAATGCACAAAACCTTACAAGATAGCAGGCATTACCCAGTAGATGCCTGTTAAGGAAGGGGTAGTGTCTTAACAATGCTGCCTAGCTGTTATACATCATGTTGAATGCCAAAAAATGAAGAATGAAAACTATGATAAGCAATTCTCCTTCTAGTTCAACAAAACAAAATAACTTTTGCATAAAATTGCTAACTTAAAAGCATACACAATAGAGTATACATGATTTGAGTAATGCAATGCGTTTGATTGCAAATAATTGAAAGTGATAACTTATACACAAAAAACTATTTGGAAACCCAAAACGCTTTATGTTAAATTGTAATGCACTTATATAATAGTAAACATAATACTTGCCTTGGTCAATCAATTGCGTGGGAAGGCAAAATCTCTTATGCATGCGGAGAAGCAGCACATGTGTACGCCGGCTGGACCTAAAAAAAACCCAAGTAGTTGAAGTTCAGGGTCTCCCGCTGTGGCCCCAGCTGTGAAATAGCGATGCTTGCAGCAGATACTTGCAGGATGTTATCACGACTTTTTGTTGATCGAACTCTGTGTCCACTGATCATGCGGATCGATATAGAGATAGCAATCATTAAGGGTATCTGTTTAATTCGTTCAATACTCTGAAATCTTTTCAAAACTCAGACTGTGGGAAAAAGTTCCACGTTTGATGTAGCAATAAAATAAAGCCCATGGAATATGTTCTTTTCATGAATATCTGTTCATAAATAAAGCTGTTCATAAAAAATTCATATCGGCAGAAAAATAGTGATATATGTAAACGAAATGTATCATACAGTAATCAGGTAATATATTTGATAATAAGCCGCGCACATATACCACCGCATCAGTAAACAATTAACCAGGAAATTCACACGCACTGGAAAACGGATTTTTACATGAACAATACTTTGTTCTTTTCAATTCTTTTGAAATTTCATCTCGACAGAAAGCCAAGGCACGTTCAGCTAAGTTAAACAATCACAGAAGTTGTAACAAATCTTCAAAATACACGTGCCTCTTGTTAGCGTGGTCAGCATGCGGGTTATCACAATAGAACTGAATGACTCGCTGAGCTGACCACGTAACCTTACACATTTTATTACATGTAATTCATCAGCCAAGGCGTAGATCTAAGAATTTTCACACTTTACCAAAATTAATCCTACCGGAAACATCCAAATAAGTTATCGCATTCAATACATAAATACAGTTATTATTTTAAAAAATTGTTGCTTTATTTAAAGAACATTCTCACAGAGCTTCTTCATGTACATCATTGTGAAATTTGCATCTCTCTTGAAGCTCCGCTTACCCATAGAAACCTTAGTTTGAAGAAATTATAGAGATTTCATTTACAATTCGGTATCGTTTTATTTGTTTTCTGGTCTATTGAAACATTTTAATAAAATGCATAAAGGCATGTACAGAGAATATTTTACCAAAAAATAAAAGGTCTTAGGTTTATATGAACTGTTTTTCCCTCTAACAAAGGGGGGAGAAGGGTCTGTAAATAAGGATACTCAACGATAAAACCAGGGGAATTGTTGTCCACCTTGTCAATGACTGTATAAAAATATTAAAAAATACAACTTTAGAGTTATAAATTTCTGATATAT